CAGTTTGTTTGTAACATTGTCTCATGTGACGAACATTATTTGTTTCCAGAGCGATGCTGGATTATGAGAATAATGGTTACCTGCAAAATAAAAGGCAACACAAAATACTCCATTCACTAGACTATCAGTGGTTAAGAAAACTTACAAGATGCAGTGGCCAAGAAAACGACCATCATATATAGCTGCCTACATCTTTCTCCATTTCATTCAAATTATGCTGTGAATTTTGGGATGATGTGATGATAAATTTCAAGGCTTTTGTTTTAATTTATACTGTAGGACTGTTGGCATTTCTAGTAGCTAGTATAGGCTTTTGGTGGTGAAATTTTTCTAGAAAGTATCAAGTGATATAAGTCATTTCCAACCCCAGAGTTACCGATAAGAAAATTAAACTGGATATATATTAGGAAAATTTAAGGCTTGGGAATGACAATCCTTAGTTTTCATGTTTAGTATCTTTTTTTTTTTGGGTCAATACATGTTTAGTATCCTCAACAAAGAAATGATGAATCTAACGGGGAAACATGAGAAAAAAAAAAAAATTGAAAGGAAATGATGAAATCTACAAGACGAATTTTTATATATTGCAAGCAAAATCGGGTTATCAGAGTATTAGGGAAAATTTGATATTTTTATATATTTTTGTTTTTGTTTTCCCTTTGGGTTATGATTGTTTTCTATTTAAGCCAACTTATGTAATTGTATTCAGAATTACTAATACAATTTTAGAGAACCCAAAATTTGATATTTTTATATATTTTTGTTTTTGTTTTCCCTTTGGGTTATGATTGTTTTCTATTTAAGCCAACTTATGTAATTGTATTCAGAATTACTAATACAATTTTAGAGAACCCAAATAGCTCCAGAATTTTATATCTACACTTTTCACTATGCTAACTGAGTTTGTATTTTTCACAAAATCATCACCAACTGCAAAAAAAAAAAAAAAAAGCTCAACATTATTGGTTCACTGTGATTATTATGATACACAGCCATCTAAAGAAACATCAAAAATCAAAACAATCAAACAATAAAATTCCAAAACTCACCAAAATTGAGAAGTAGCATGGTAGCTATGTTCAAAAGGCACATGAAGCTTGCCACATATGAATTGGCTATTTTAATTAGGTTATGCCCCTCACCTTTGACTTTTACAATGGTTATGTTTCTTTTTACTAGCCTTCATGCACGTGTTCACGCGCATGTAAAAGATATTTTTTGAATCATGGCGTGCTACGCGCGATTTATACATTTTAAATGTATTTATATGCATGAATTGCTTCAATATTTTTTATTACTAAAAGAAAGTCAAATATGTGGACTAAATGAATAATATTAGACTATGCTAAAAGAAATCCCTCATAAACCAATCAATTGAATCTACATAATAAAATCGGTCCTTCAATTTTCATCTACATTCTATTGAATTTACATTAAAAATAGAGAAAATAATATTTAATAAACAATTGATTGAATTACATTATCGCTAGCTCATTGTGAGGCTAAGCCCACCCTCTCCCCTTAGTGTAGATAATATCATTTGTTAAAAAAAAATCATTTGACAACTAATTGAATCACATTATTATGAGCATGCAAAAGCCTTTTTTATAACCGGCACTACGCGCATGTTAAGTGTTTAAAAATAGAAAAAATAATATTTAATAAACAAATGATTGAATCACATTATTGTGCGAGTGTGAACAACCTTTTTTATCACTGGCGGTACACGCCTCTTAAGATATTTTGAACGTGTTTAAAAATAAAGAAAATAATATTTAATAAACAATTAATTGAATCATATTATTGCTAGCCCCCTTAATGTAGATAATATCTTTGTTAAAAAAAAACAAAAAACAATCATTTGACAACTAATTGAATCACATTATTATGCATATGCGAATGACCATTTTTATAATCGGCATTACGTGCCTCTTAAGAAGTTTTGATTGTGTTTAAAAATGTGAGGTATTAATTAAAAAAAATTTTAAAAAACACTGTACAAAAAATTTAATTATTAAAAAAATATTGTTTATATGACAAAAATACCCCTGCATTATTTTAGACGTCTTTTGAACTTTTTTGTATGGGGGTTTTTGTCCCAATTCTTTTTGGTGAAGCCATGATCCCAAAAAGGGGCTGCTGGCTTTATATTTCTTTTTATTTAAAAAAAAATCAAAATAATTTAGACAACTAAAGGTCTATTTTTGCCTAAAATTGTGACTCGCTCTCTTGCATCCAAATTCAAATTTTATAAACCATTGCCTTAAAAGAGTCTCATTTTGGTGAAAAAATAAACCTTGCAAGAGTTTATAAAAGGTTAGACTACTTCTCATATTGTCAATTGGTTTTACTGTGGAACCTCAACTTTGTTCATGATATTAGAGCATGTTGGTCCACATGTGAAGCCCAACGGTTTACACGTGCTCCACGCCACTCCGTTCATATTGTCTATGTGTTAGGCTTGGAAATTAATTAGCCACACCTGAGGGGGCGTGTGAGAATGTGAGGTATAAGAGCCCCACATTGGTAAAAGGATAAACCTTGCAATGACTTATAAGAGGTTGGGCTACTCCTCATATTATTAATTTATAATGAAACTTTAACTTTCTTCATGTCTTCGACAGTTTAGCTAAAATATGGATCAATGAACCATATTATAATTATTACAGCATTTCAATTATTATTTCTTAAAGAAAGATTGCAACTTTTGTCAATCCACCGTACAGGCTTAAATTTTGAAGTTGCATGGCCGGTTATTTTAGCCTTTAGCTATATAGATGGACAAAAGTACTAGTAAATATATAATGTATAGGTAAGATATACATTAATCATCCACACATTTGCATTCCCCATTGACACATTTGATAGTTCCCGAACGACATTTAACTCCTTCGCAGTCGGTCAAAACGGAACATTGATCGTTTCGAATTTGCGGGCCAGACTGAGACAACTCAGGGAGAAAGCACAAACATTTCCCGTTATGACACGTAGCCCTTCCCTTTGGACAGTCTTCTGCAGTATCTCTACAGTCGGTGAGACTCCGGCAGTCGGCGGCGACGTCGTGAATGGTATTTCCAAGTTCGCATGTGCAGACGTGATTAACACAAAGAACAAAGTTTGAGGGGCATGGATACGTCTTGCAGTCGGCGTTCGAATTGCATCGTTGAACAGCATTAGCTGCTTCTGCTTCTGCTCCTGCAGCCACGCCTGCAGATGTTAAATAATTAAATCCATTGGAGACGGCCTTTATGTATTTAAAATTACAAACAATCGACTTCGACGACAATCATATATTATGGGAAGAGAGTTTGACTAATTGGGAGAAAAAACTCACAAATGACCAAGAAGACGACCCGACTAATCATACTCGTCTTAAACGCAGCCTTCTCCATGTTTTTCTTGTTGCGTCACGCTGTGGGGATGTTTTTCTTTCAGTAAAGATGTTTTTATTTCTGTAAAGTGAGTCCGTAATCTATATTTATAAGGGCTCTCATACACATTTCTGATAGTTTCACACATTATATCAAGAAAAAGCCAAAGAAATCTGAATATGTCTAATATATGTTTAAAATCATGTAATTTTAAAGATCCATAGGATTTTTATAATGTGTTTGTTTCCTGATGTGGAAATAAATATCATATTACGAAAGAAAAATAAGAAATTTAAGATTGAGATATCTGATATTTAATTTCCTTGTTTGGTAAGGAAAATAGATATTAAAAAAGAAAGTTTAATACATGACTATTTTAAGAGATAAGGTTGAATACTTATGAATCACTATATATTTTTAAACTTAAATCTTTTAAATAAATGTTTATTAGTAACTATGTTGAACATTTTATTGTAACTTGGACAAAGTGTTACTTTTTTTATCTAATAATAATCTACATTTTGAAAACATTTAATACATTTAGTAACTAAGTCGTATTTTTTAATAATTCTTTAGCTAACATTATTACTCCACATTATTTGTAAATAAACGTTTTTTATTTTTTAGTAAAACTAAATTTATAGTAAATCATATTTATCTAATAATTTTTTTTAAATAATATAAACCACAACAATTTAAATTACACAATTTAATCATAAATAGCTCATAATTAATAATCTAAATCATTTAAGACAAATTTTAATCTAATTATGCATATACTAAGTTTTTTAACAAAAAAAAAAAATAAGCAAATAAAATCAAAAAAACCACAACATAATAAATAAGTCAAATACTCTCAAAACTTCAAAAACATAAACCAAATCCTCTGTACGAGTCATAGTAGATTTTTGGGATGCGAGTCATGTGATGGTTCTTTGGGTCAAGTAGCTGTGAAATCTCGTTGTGTTTGCCTGAATGGATTTTTGGACACAATATGTTTGTGTTTAAAGTCGAAATCTATTACTCCAACACTTCAAATTCTTTTCCATGTTAGATTTAACATTTCCTTGTTGACAATATCAACCACGAAAAAATCAGGATTTCATTCCCAAAATCTGCAAAATATCAGGTTAATTTCCTTATCGTCAACTCTAAAGTTGGAAATTAATAATGTCACTTGATACTTCCAGATTTCTTAAGCACTTTTATTACCAGACATGTCAACACTACCATAGTATAAATATTGTTCAAAGCTAGGGTTCAACACTTCATTACTACACATATAATCCCAGGTGTCACAAAATAATTATATATAAAAAATGCCAAAGGCTACGTCTAAGACAGCTATGATCGCCGTCTTCTTTTCTTCCTAGCTACTCATCTCATCAGCCACCAAAATCAAAATTAAACAGTAGAAATAAGCCAAGATTAAGCAGTTTCAACTAATTCATACAAGGAGTAAAGAAATCCCTTGTAACCGCGTTTACATATTTACTAAATGTCCATATCTCAAAAACAACCAATTCAATCAGAATGATCACGTTTATAGGGAATTGTTGGGCTCCAGAAAACAGGATCGCTAGTAACACTAGTAAATTCATCGAAAACTCGACATAACATAGCAACATGAGCAATCAGAGAACTTTGAAGACCAATATGGTATGAGGTTGTTCCACATCAAATTCAGCAATATAAATCTCCTCATTTTGCTTCATAAAATCCATATACATATAATATCAAATGCAACAGTAAAAACACAAGAATTCAACCATAAATTCAGATAAAATCTCAAACTTTAAAAGATATGGCAAAGCAATCAGAGAACTTTGAAGGCATGATTTGAAATTCCACATCAAATTCAGATTAAAACAAATCTGATTTCATCATTTTGCTTTGCCATTTTCTTCAGATCTGGTACTTGTATTTTCTGGCAAATCAGAGTTACGCAAGAGAAATCACTCGGATTCACTGCACAACCGATGCCAAAGGTTGAATCTTGCACCGAACCCTTTGCTCGAAATTTCCCAGCTACCATGTTTCCAAGCAGCAAGGGGCTATCTGGTGCATTACAAGATTAAAACTTGATAATTTCAAAATCCCAGTAAAATCCACACAATAATTACAGATATCAAAATTGAAGAAAAGGGATACGCAACGGCGAAGTACCTGACGTGGGAAATCTATCAGTTGTACTTGCGGGAGCTTAATGCCGGAAGAGAGATTTTTACCTGCATAATAAAAAGGCAACACAAAATACTCCATTCACTAGACTATCAGTGGTTAAGAAAACTCACAAGAAGCAGTGACTAAGAAAACGACCATCAAATATGGCTGCCTACATCTTTCTCCATTTCATTCAAATTATGCTGTGAATTTTGGGATGATGTGATGATCGATTTCAAGGCTTTTGTTTTAATTTATACTATAGGACTGTTGGCATTTCTAGTAGCTAGTTTAGGCTTTTAGTGGTGAGAAAATCTAATTTTTCTAAAAAGTATCAAGTGATATAAGTCATTTCCAACCCCAGAGTTACCGATAAGAAAAGTAAACTGGATATTAGGAAAATTTAAGGCTTGGGGATGACAATCCTTAGTTTTCATGTTTAGTATCCTCAACAAAGAAATGATGAATCTAACAGGGAAACATGAAAAAAAGCTGAAAGGAAATGATGAAATCTACTAGACGAATTTTTATTATATTGCAAGCAAAATCGGGTTATTAGAGTATTAGGGAAAATTTGATATTTTTATATATTTTTATTTTTATTTTCCTTTTGGGTTATGATTGTTTTCTATTTAAACCAACTCATGTAATTGTATTTAGAATTACTAATAAAATTTTAGAGAACCCAAATAGCTCCATAATTTTATATCTACATTTTTCACTATGCTAAGTGAGTTTGTATTTTTCACAAAATCATCACCAACTGCAAAAAATAAAAACTCAACATTATTGGTTCGCTGTGATTATTATGATACACAGCCATCTAAAGAAACAATCAAACAATAAAATTCCAAAACTCAACTAATTGAATCACATTATTATGCGTGTATGAAATACCTTTTTTAATCGGCTCTACACGCCTTTTAAGTGTTTAAAAATAAAGAAAATAATATTTAATAAACAAATGATTGAATCACATTATTGTGCGTGTGCAAAATACCTTTTTTTATCACTAGCGGTACACACCGTGTAACATCCCACATCGCCCAGGGGTAAGGATCATGTAAGCCTTATATGTTGAAATAAGGCCGTTGAATGATAAAGTGGTTGAAATAATTTTGTATTATTATTAAAAAATAATATTGTAATTTTAATCATGATATTATCTCTTAGTAATATATTAAATTATTTGAACCTAATATTACTCTAAATCCGGCACGGCATCAGATAATGAAGCATGCATGATGAGATATTATCTATTTAAAATATGGTGATAATCAAAAATGAATTTGAAGTTCAAGATGCATGCGGCAGTTTTGGTAAAAGATGATGAAAGCCTAGGAAAGCTAGGTTTTTGGTGATGATGTGGTGATGTGATAAGCCTAGGATTTGTGATGGAGTTATGATAAGAAGCCTAGATAGGCTAGGTCTTTGGTCATGATCGGATAAACCTAGATGAGTTTTTATTTGAAAAGTCAACCACACGGATCATATTTCATTCTGCAAGTTAGAGTTGCAGTTGGACTCCACAATTATCTAGCTGTGTCAAGCAAATATCAACCCTATAAATACAAGGTGTTGTGCAACGTAAAAGGGACCTCCAACCCAACACACAAATTGCCCTGTGCAAACCTTCGCTCTACGCGAAACCTCTCAAACATCTTGAGATTTTTATTTTATTTTTCGCCAACACATCTTCAGTTTGGATAAACAACACTGTGAAGGCAATCGGCGAACATCTTCAGTTTGGATAAACAGTACTGTTGCCGTAGAATCAGCCGACCACGGAGCACCTTCAGTTTAGATAAACATTGCGTCGATGCTGACTGGTTATCTATCCAAGTCTCGGTCGAGAAGGATTTTCGAATCCTTATTGGCAGAGGTCATCTCATTAGCCTTCTCGGCGAAATGAGGTGTTACAAATTACTACATTTGGCACATTGAAAGCCAAATTTGATATTGAACTTCACAGAACTAGTAGCCTTGTCTTCAGGCTCTAGAACCTGAAGGCCGAGACGTGTTCCTTCCTTGGCCGCAGTCGCAAGATCAAGAAGTCAGCAGCGCACCCAACACAACATGAACAAATTTTACTCCTCGGCTGAGCTCGGCTGACGAGTTTGCACGCCCCGCATACAATCGAATGACGTAGTTAGCTTATTAGTTACTCGGCCTGCACGCCACATAGGCTTGGTAGATTTTAGGGTCAACATATGTATATTCTTATATCTACCTAGCACGAGGCCTTTTGGGAGGTCACTGGCTTCGGGTTCCATCGGAACTCCGAAGTTAAGTGAGTTTGCGCGAGAGTATTCCCATGATGGGTGACCCACTGGGAAGTTCTGCTTGCATGAGTTCCCAGAAACAAAATCGTGAGGGCGTGGTCGAGGCCCAAAGCGGACAATATCGTGCTATGGTGGAGTTGAGCCCAGGATATGGTAGGGGCTCGGGCCGGGATGTGACATGCCTTTTAAGATATTTTGAACGTGTTTAAAAAAAATAAACAATTGATTAAATCACATTATTGTTAGCCTATTATGAAGATAAGCTCACTCTCTCTCCCTTAGTGTAGATAATATCATTTGTTAAAACAAAAACAAAAAATAATCATTTGACAACTAATTGAATCACATTATTATGCGCGTGCAAAAAATCATTTTTTTATAATTGGTACTACGCGCCTCTTCAGATGTTTTGAACGTGTTTAAAAATAGAGAAAATAATGTTTAATAAACAACTGATTGAATCACTTTATTGCTAGCCCATAGTGAGGTATTAATTATAAAAATAAAAACATTGTACAAAAAAATTAAGTATTAAAAAAATATTGTTTATATGATGAAAATATCCCTACATTATTTTGAGTTTCTTTGGAACTTTTTAGTTTAGAGGGCATTTTTGTCCCATTACTTTTTGGTGAAGTCGTGACCCCCAAAAGGGGGCTGCAGGCTTTATATTTCTTTTTATTTATAAAAAATATCAAAATAATTTAGACAACTAAAGGTCCATTGCCTAATTAAAATTGTGACGCGCTCTCTTGCATCCAAATTCAAATTTTATAAATCATCGCTTAAAAGAGTCTCATATTAGTGAAATGAGAAACTTTGCAAGGGCTTATAAGAGGTTGAGTTACTTCCCATATTAGGGTGTTGCCAATTGGTTTTATGGTGGAACCTCAACTTTCTTCATGATATCAGAGCATGTTGACCCACATGTGAAGCCCAATGGTTTACACATGCTCCATGCCATCCCGTTCGTGTTGTCCACGTGTTAGGCTTGAACATTCGCCACACATGAGGGGGCGTGTGAGAATGTGAGGTATAAGAGTCTGACATTGGTGAAAGGAGAAACCTTACAAGGGCTTATAAGAGGTTGGATTACTCCTCATATTATCAATTAATTTTATAGTGGAACCTCAACTTTATTTACGCCTTCCACAGGTTAACTAAAATATGGATCAATAAACCATATTATAATTATTACAGCATTTCAATTATTATTTCTTAAAGAAAGATTGCAACTTTTATCAATCCACTATAGAGGCTTAAATTTTGAAGTTGCACGGCTAGCTATTTTAGCCTTTAGCTACATAGATGGACAAAAGTACTTGTAAATATATAATGTATAGCTAAGATATACATTAACCATCCACACATTTGCATTCCCCATCGACACATTTGATAGTTCCCAAAGCACATTTAACCCCTTTGCAGTCGGTCAAAACGGAACATTGATCGTTTTGAATTTGCAGGCCAGACTGAGAGAACTCAGGGAGAAAGCACAAGCATTTCCCGTTATGACACGTAGCCCTTCCCTTTGGACAGTCTTCTGCAGTATCTCTACAGTCGGTGAGACTCCGGCAGTCGGCGGCGACGTTGTGAATAGCATTTGCGACTTCGCATGTGCAGACGTGATTAACACAAAGAACAAAGTCTGAGGTGCATGGATACGTCTTGCAGTCGGCGTTCGAATTGCATCGTTGAACAGCCTTAGCTGCTTCTGCTCCTGCAGCCACGCCTGCAGATTTTAAATAATTAAATCCACTGGAGACGGCCTTCATATGTATTTAAATTTACAAACAATCGACTTCGACGATAATCATATATTATGGGAAGAGAGTTTGACTAATTGGGAGAAAAGAACTCACAAATGACCAAGAAGACGACCCGACTAATCATACTCGTCTTAAACGCAGCCTTCTCCATGTTTTTCTTGTTGCGTCACGCTGTGGGGATGTTTTTCTTTCAGTAAAGTGAGTCCGTAATCTATATTTATAAGGGCTCTCATGCACATTTCTGATAGTTTCATACATTATGTCAAAAAGCCAAAGAAATCTGAATATATCTAGTAAATCATGTAATTGATTCCATAGGATTTTATAGTGTGTTTCCTGATGTGGAAATAAAATATCATATTTAGGAAACAAAATCACAATTTAAGATTGATATCTGATATTTAATTTCCTTGTTTGGTATGGAAAATATGGAAAAGAATAAATGAAATTTGGGAGTATGTAAATACAGTGTGAACCACTTATTTTGTACACTTCATAATATTTTCAAAATGTAATACAACAATGTCAATAATTGTCAGTAAGACCTTCAACATGACCCTTCTACATATCTTTTCTAACCACATGTACATGGACTAGCTACTTGAGACAAGGGTGTTTTTTTTTCCAATCTCTACATTTTGAAAATTGACACACTCCACTATTAACGTAGTATAATTTGTAACTAAGTCAAATTTTATTTTTGTAACAACACGTCTTTCAAGTAATCACGTCTTCATAGTAATAATACTAATAGTCGCAACATTATTACTACATAGAGGTTTTGCTCTATATATGCCTAAATTTTAGGCTCTAATTTTATAAATGTCAGTTTTTACAAAAAAAAATTCAAACATAATCAAAACCACACACGTAAATAGAGTCAAATACTCTCAAAATTAAAAACAACATAAACCTAAAATCCAAACTGTACGAGTCATACAAGTAGATTTTTGGGATGCGAGTCATGTGATGGTTCTTTGGGTCAAGTAGCTGTGAAATCTCGTTGTGTTTGCCTGAATGGATTCTTGGACACAATATGTTTGTGTTTAGGTAGAATTTAAAGTCGAAATCTATTACTCCAACACTTTCACATTCTTTTCCATGTTAGATCTAACATTTAGTTGTTGACAATATCAACCACGAAAAAAATCAGGATTTCATTCCCAAATCTGCAAAATATCAGGTTAATTTCCTTATCGTCAACTCTAAAGTTGGAAATTAATTATGTCACTTGATACTTCTAGATTTCTTCAGCACTTTTATTACCAGACATGTCAACACTACCATAGTATAAATATGGTTCAAAGCTAGGGTTCAGCACTTCATTACTACATATATAATCAAAGGTGTCACAAAATAATTATATATAAAAAATGCGAAAGGCTACGTCTAAGATAGCTATGATCGCCGTCTTCTTGGTCATTGCATTTTGTGAGCTTTTCCTCCTAGCTACTAATAGTAGTTAATTTCTCTACCTGCAGTGCAAATGAATGCTGTACGTAGAAGTGTGTATTACATAGTTAAAGTTCTCTAAACGGAGCACCTGTGTATGCGTTATTTTGCAGGTGTCCCATTATTCTCAGAAGCCGTGATCGTTGTTCGTCATTGTTCTACCGACGCTGACTGCACTTCGTTTCAATGTTCTGTCGACGTCTCAGCTACTTGTGTCAACAACTACTGCAATTGCCAACAAGCGTCAAATATTAATACACGTGACTCTGGCCTGCCAAATCAATATGGTCTCCAATCTCAATGTTTCAATCAGACGGACTGCGCCAAGATCGGTATTATATGTCCGACGATTGGAAAGCTCGACTGTGTTGACGGGCAATGCAAATGCATCGACGAGAAGGCAGTCGCACGCCAGAGAGTAGATTCTGGTCGGCTGCAGCCAAATCGAATTGGCCAATGTTTCAGTGAGACCAACTGCAATGGGATTACATGTTCTCCAGGAACTCCAACATGTCTTGATGGGCACTGCCTATGCGTAGACTCAGCTTGATCGAGCCTATAAGCTACATAGTTACTCCTAGTTAGGTGCAACTTAACGAGTAATATTACTACAAGATATAATAAAATCTCGTCGATTAATAATTAATTGCTTGGTGCTAATTGAATGGTTTATACTGGCTAGCTAGCTAAATCATATCGTCCACTCAAACCGAGGTTTTTCTCTTCTCTATATGAGCTGCCGGCACCAAACTAAGATTCGAATAATATGTTTTATTGATCAATATCTTAAAAATAAAGAAAACTAATGAAAATAACTTGAAAGCTTTGAGTTTTAACAATAAGAACAAAATAAATGGTAAAATGAATAGTACCAGGTTAACGTTTTAGTGTAAAAATGTGGTTTTTCATTAAAATGAACAGTACCAGGAATTTTTCGTTAAAATTCCCTAAAAATAATTGTAGATTTATACACAAATGTAGAGTACGTAAGACTGGTAATTTGTAATGTTAGAAGTACCGAAAACTATTAGCTATTTGTTGAAGATGAAAGTTTGTTTAGAGTTTAGTGAAGTGGAAATTAAACTTGATATTTAGGAAAAAGTAATTGGGAGTGATGTATATAATCGCTAATTTCTTATTGTTTGATACCACCAATAAGGAAAAAAAAAAAGAAATTGGAAATAATTTAGACTAAGATTAGATATAATTATTTCTGAAAACAGAGCTGCTCACTAATCCTTGGATGAGAAGAGTTCATGTACATATAAGACGGCCGGATTGATAGCATCATCTACTGAATGATGAATGATGGCGGTGCACCGCCATATCCTTCTTCATATGTAACTGTTGGGAGGGCAAGCAGCCGGACATGTTTTTCGACGAAATTAGGGATACGTATATACAAAAACTATATTTACACTTGCATATTAATCTCTTTCAACGTTGGTTGAAAGTTGGGAGTCATCTACTTTCTTCTTGTCATGAGAGCCCTCGACTCGATGCTTCTTGTCATGAGAGCCCTCGACTCGATGCTGTCTCTGGACTTGATTATGTTAAAAGTTTGCCTTGCAGTCCAAGGATCCTCCCGCGACGTATGATCTGGTACAACAGGACCTGGTTGATCATCTGTTTTAGAGAGGTAGGTACTAGGTGATTCGGCATGTAGGTATGAAACAAAGTTTTGATAACTCGCTAGCCTTTTTCTTCCTATTTACAATTCTTCGTGCCTTTCGAGGGGGGGGGGGGGGAAGAAACAATTTTCTTTGGACGGGCTCACATCTATCTCCATTGGATATTCATATGCGTGATGAAACTTGGTTTGCGGAGTATAATCAACGGCATTCCCCAAAGAAACAGAAACAGCAAAGGGTGTGGCAAAAATGGTCTAAACCAACAACGGCACTAAACCAGGGCTTCGGACATTGTAGGCCAAGTTTGGATTCCGCTGTGATGCAGTCGAATCAGTTGCAATTGGCTCTACGTTTCACTCCGCTGTAATGCAGTCGAATCAGTGGCAATTGGCACTACATCTGATTCCGCAGTACTGCAGATGAATCAGTGGCAATTGGCGCTACATCTGATTCCGCAGTACTACGGATGAATCAGTGGCAATTGGCCACAACATCTGATTCCGCTGTAATGCAGTCGAATCAGTGGCAGTTGGCTCTACATCTAGTTGGCACCCGAATTCATCAAGAAAGAATTTATCTCCATTGGCATCAAAAGTAAAACTTCCAGGATTTCATAACATTTAACAACAGATTGATATTCCAAAATTCATGTACAAAGATGTTCAGCCTTATGAAATCGTATCTACTAAAACCTTACATAAAGGATTAACAACTTTAGCCAGCTTGGAACCGGAATCCTTTTTCTTTGCAATCTGTTGGCAAATTGTTCGCTTACTTTGCTCAAGCTTGTAATGTTGTTTTGATGCATATTGCTCGACATAATGCCAACATGTTGTATCCCTAGCTTTGCTTCAGCTGTCATACAAAAAAATACAAGAGACGTTTGCAATGAAAAAACAAAGAGATACCTTCAGTATCGCACCATGCTCGACAGTCTGCAATACAAATGCATAACAGACTGCAAATTTTGGTGCTCACATTCGCGCTTCAACTCGTCTCATCAGCCACCAATATAAAAATTAAACAGTAGAAATAAGCCAAGATTAAACAGCTTCAACTAATTCATACAAATTCAATCAGAAGGGTCACGTTTATAGGGAATTGTTGGGCTCCAGAAAACAGGATCACAAGTAACACTAGTAAATTCATCGAAAACTCGACATAACATAGCAACATGAGCAATCAGAGAACTTTGAAGACCAATATGGTATGAGGTTGTTCCACATCAAATTCAGCAATATAAATCTCCTCATTTTGCTTCATAAAATCCATATACATATAATATCAAATGCAACAGTAAAAACACAAGAATTAAACCATAAATTCAGATAAAATCTCAAACTTTAAAAGATATGGCAAAGCAATCAGAGAACTTTGAAGGCATGATTTGAAATTCCACATCAAATTCAGATTAAAATAAATCTGATTTCATCATTTTGCTTTGCCATTTTCTTCAGATCTGGTACTTGTATTTTCTGGCAAATCAGAGTTACGCAAGAGAAATCACTCGGATTCACTGCACAACCGATGCCAAAGGTTGAATCTTGCACCGAACCCTTTGCTCGAAATTTCCCTGCTACCATGTTTCCAAGCAGCAAGGGGCTATCTGGTGCATTACAAGATTAAAACTTGATAATTTCAAAATCCCAGTAAAATCCACGCAATAATTACAGAAATCAAAATTGAAGAAAAGGGATACGCAACGGCGCAGTACCTGAATTGGGAAATTCATCAGTTGTACTTGCGGGAGCTAAATGCAGCCGGAAGAGAGAGTTTTATAGGGGTTTTAGGGGTTAGGGTTTCTACTCGGCATGAGAAACGACTTGTCGTACGCCACTCCGGGCTTTTCCTTTTTTCTTTTTTTTCTTTTTGTTTTTACCCCAAAAATAAAAGGGTGTGGAAGTCAATAGAATTGACAATATCAGACACAAACACATGATTAATATCGTTCAACTGATATTGCTTGATGTGTATTCGGAAGGGTCTTATAACTTAGTTAAGATCTTTCATTTTTGTACTCGAGATCCGAGCTCGATTTTCTTCTTCACCAATATCGCTTGTATCAACCAAGAAAAAAAATTGTTGTAAATAAGTAATTATAAACATGAACCACTTTCACCCCACCGTTATCTCGTATAATGTGAAAATTTTGACAACATCACGTGACAACATGACCGTTTAAATGAATTTTCTTTCCCCTTTACAACTTATTCAACAACTAAAACGGGTGTAGTCAAATTAAGATTTTAAAGGATTTTAAAAGTGATGGATTTTATAGGATTTAAGAGAATTAAAGACTTCTACAAAATTCATATGGATTTTAAAGAATTTGAATGGATTGTGGTGGAAGGATTTGAAATCCTAGTGGGGTGAGGTTAGATTCTTTTTAGTCTTGGTTATATATAATTTCTGCTGTCAAATCCCGCAAAATTCACAACTTATTGAAATCCTCCAAAATCTTAATTTTTTTAATACACTTAGATTTGGATGGATTTTAAAATCTTTAAAATCTTTTAATTGACTACACTAGAATTTGAATGGATTCTAAAATCTTTTAAAATTTTTTAATTAACTACACTAGGATTTTAATCCGAATTTGACTACACCTCCTAAAATTGCAAGTGTGGAAATTGGTAATGTCATCAATATTTTTCACTAATATCTTGCCATAATTGAAGAATGAATCATTCTCTCGTGATGTAATTTATTATAGAGGATTTTTTTGAAATCTAAAAATTGAATTGACATTCCGTTTCGTTTTATTTCGTCTCCTATAAAATGAAATGAAAAATGAACTACTTTGCATACTGAACCAAACCTGCAAGTCTACAAGTCCCCAACCACAGGTCCACAACACTATCAAGAACAATATGGAGAGGAAACCATCTTTCAAGTTTGCTTCTTTGGTCCTTCTTTTGGCTATAATTGCTTGTTAGTCCCTCTCTCTCTCTCTCTCTCTCTCTCTCTCTCTGTGACACATTGGTATAAACTAGTTTGTAATTTGCACAGGCATGGCAATGTGGAACATGCCGGGAGCTGAAGCAAGGGGAAAACTCCGGTGTCCTGGGATGATAGACTGCAGCAGTGTGTGCGAAGGATTTCCCTGGCGCTGCGTTAATGGCGAATGCATATGTGATGGTGGCAACCTTCCTCCCCAACTCCAAGTTGAAGCTAATTTTCAACCAGACCAGTTGCCATGAAATGTGTACAAGGGGATAAGTTTATAGTACTATATATGTAACTGTCTGAGTTGAGTAATAAAGTAACTAATACCTTTATTTCATTGGCATTATTGCTTTGCTTCTAATCTTAGTGATCATAAGCAGATTAAAGGTCACTTAATCTGATTACCAAGTAGCAACCACTCGAAATTCACGTTACGCCAAAGGCAACTAATCCTTTTCAATCATCTGTTCAAATGCCATCTAGGGGACTTAAATCATTTGTTGAATCATTACAATTCGCCAACCTATATGTACACTAAACGAATTTTCAAACAATACAATACTTCCTGCTGAAACAACATTTTATTCTGCAGAACCTAACAAGACATCCAGCACAATGTAGAGCGCTTCAGAAAAAAATTTCAAGGAACAATGCGTCACAAATATGAGAGGTTCGTGGTGAAGTTAAAGTCGTGAGAAAGCCTATTCGTCACAAATCTTCAACGGGGAAAGGTTCCTGGTTAAGCAAATATATGACTGATACGACAACAATTACCATGAGAATGTGCTTCAGGCTTAGGCGCTTGGCCTGTACCACTTCGACAGTGTCAAGTTCTGAATCCGAGCCAGTGGGACTATATACAGAACTGGAAGCCCCTGCATCATTATCACAGACAGGTGCCTCTGCTGACGGTTCATCCACCTGATTCAGGGAATATTGCAGAGTTTGTGAGAAGAATGGTCCAGAATCAGAAAATAAATCATGAAAAAAAACAGAAAAGGTCAATCTCAAACACTGTCTTCGAGTTCATTATGTAGTTCTACGATTTTGAAAGGAAAACAAAGAATTTAAAAATCCGTTGCAACCGCTGCAACTTAAAACTATATTGTAAACACCTTAGTAATTTACAGTTATACAAGTGGGAGGCACTAGGCATTCCTGGTTATGCATGAAGACTGAAGACCCTTCTTTAATTTTCTCTTTTAATTTCCCTTACAAGTCCATTTATTGTAATAGGAACTGATCGAAAAGAATACCTGCCTGGAAACTTTTATCTAAAGAATCTGTCACATCTTCCACGGATGTTTTTATAGAAGTAGCATTTGGAGAAGCACACTTGAAAGGTGGAAGCTCTTTGTTGTCAATGTCTTCGTTGTTGCACTCAGTTACATCTTTTTTGGTGTTCCATAATTTCTCTACCAGAAGTTTTTTCTCCATTGTTAAGACATGCATCTGCACAGAAGAAACTATAGTTAATAAAATTATTATGAATATGCTTATAGTTTTTCTTTACTCGGACACCTTGAGTGTGCTTTTTCGATGGCAATTCAGTGACTTCTATTTTCCTGTACATATATTTGAAGCAACAGATTTCTCATTCGAAACGAGGACTTGAGCGCAAGAGAGAATTGGTTATACAAGACATACCTGCTTTTGGATGCGCTCCCTTTCTACAGCCAGTTGCATTGCCATATCCATAATGAGCTTGATTCTGGAATTGAGTTCTTCCGCGCTTGCAAGTTTTGCATTGTTAGCTTGATCCAAAGACAATTCCAAGAATTCCACTCTATCCCTTAAAACAGTTATTTCCACATTTAGTTCTGCATTAGTTTCAGACAACGTTATACATTGCTCCTCAGTACTTTCTGTCTTATTCTCAGCTTTGGAAACCTTCGATTTTAGATCTTCAATCAAAGTTTCCATATCCCAAATTGCAGCATATAACATATTTTGCTGCTCTTGACTTGCTTCGGAGGATGCTTTCGCATTCTGTAATTGTATCTCTACTTCCCTCAGCTGCTTCTCGAGACTTCCAACCTTTTTTTCTGAGCCAGTAGCACTTCCCTTGAGAAAATTCAGCTCTTCGGTGAGTTCCACATTTGTTCCTGTTACTTCCGCAACCTTAAGTTCTGCACTCTCGGCCTTAACTTCTGCTACAAAGATATTTTCTTTCAAAGACGCAACTAAACTTTCCATTTCCCCAAGTTTCTCTTCACTCGATTCATTCGTGGCATTGGCATTCTTCAGCTGGAGCTGTGACTCTTTCAGCTGTTTCTCAAGGAGCATCACCTTTTCTCTCAAAGCAGTCATTTCAACATCTTTCTTAATGTTCTCTTTCATTATCTTCTCGAGCTTATGCAAAGCATTATCTTTTGCTCTAATCTCTTCTAAACTAGCTTGAAGATTGAATTTTAACTCGCTTTCTCGCTGAATTGAACCATTCAGATTAAAATGAACAAGCTGCAGTCGACCCAATAACTCCTTTGAAATCCCCTGGAGAACCTCAGCAGCATTTTCTGCCTCTAAAAACCTTCCCCAAACAACTTCTGCTGCTTCTTCCATGCAAAATACTACCTCTTCCATATGATGCATCTTCAATTTAAGTTCTTCTCCATTCTGTCTTGATTCGGCTAATTTCTTCTCAAGATATAGCTCCCTCGAAAGCGACTTCTCCAGCATCCATAGATTATGTCTTTGTTGTCTAGGCATCCTTAAATTTGACATTGCATTTTTATTCGACAGTTGACAATTTTCTGACAAATCCATGGCAATGTCAGTTTTCCCTGTCGACATGTGTGCCTCAAGTAAATAATAACCAAGTAAAAAGGCATCTTTGCTATCTGAATTTAAAGAATCTCTCAAACTAGACAGAAACTTTGAACTTACAATTTTCATGTGCGAAAGCTAGAACGGTTCTCTGAAACCTTGCAGACCGCATCTTGACCTCAGAAATCTGTTGCCGAGATTGCTTTAGTGATTCTTCAGAATCATTTAGCTTTCCTTTCATTATAGAGTACAGTTCTCCCAAGTGTCTACACGAAGATATTTTTTGACGCGCATCAACAATTTCCACTCGGAGATTATCCATGTAATTGTCCAGCTCTCGTACCTCAGAATCCAAAATGCTAGACAGGAGATTGAACACCAATACTTTCTCAACAAAGTCTGCCAGAATATAGTTATTCGTGGTGGCCATTGCCTCAAGATCATTTTGCTGAGCCAAAAGGTACATCAGAGGTACATGGAGATTTGCTAACTTCTCAGAAGAATATGCCAAGTCCAAGTCCACCTTTGTCAAAACTTTCATGGAACTCTCTAACTCTTGCACGCCAGATTCGTTAGATGGCACCCGTTCATGTATGTGGTTTATCTCAAGCTCTGGACTGCCAACATTGATATCACAAACAGCGTGGTCTTCCATACCAAATGCTCAATTCCTGCTTTCGCAACCTGATCTCTTCTATCTGAATCTCGAAAAAGTTTCAAAAGAGAGGGCTGAGCAAGGCAGACTTAATTTAGAGCAAGAAATGATACGAATGAGCCCCAAAATATAGTCATTGGTACATACATAACCAATATCCATAATATCGCCACCAGATTAGACTAATCGAGATTAAGTAACAACTAACAAGCGAACGTTGTGAAACTTTACAAAGTCAATCTCTATCAACGTGAACATCGTAAATTATAATAGTTTAGAATATCGCCAAGCCAACAAAATATACGACAACATAACAAAGAACACCCAAATTTGCGACATTACAGCTCTGCATAAAAGTTTTGAAGCTAAAGACTTTCACTAAATACTATAAAGTTTTCTGACCAAAGAAAATTACCATAAAGTTCCAATGGTTAAGCAATTAAATAAACAAAGCTGCAGAATTGAGGCATTAAAAATGCATGCAAAAATTCAAATATGTAGAGAAAGCAATACAAAATTACATACAACAAAAGCAAACTGTCTGGGAAATTTGAACCTCTGGGTCCTCAGAAAAATACCTGGAAGTGGGAGGAAAGCTTTTCTGGGTCTTCTCAGAGCTCAGCAGGGAACTAAACTGTAGGGTTTAACCACCTGCCGTTACCGTTAAACCAAGGTGGACGTTTTGGAGTTTGCTGGGTGTGGTGGTTTCGGAGGCTGTGGGATCTGTGAAGATGATGACAGGTGAGAGCCGCGGACACCAATTGGTCAAAGCAAAACGAAAGTATACAGATGCGGTACTTAGAATGTTGTGTGTTCTGGGGTGCACGTTGGCACCTGCCCCACGTAGGCAGCAGCTCCTCCGCTCCAATAATTTAGTTATAAACAACAACATCATTAAAACGTACGCAGTACTCGTAACGTCGGGTCCACCTTTGATGATTCTTGTGGCTCGTGGAGGAGAAGTTCTTGTGCCCGCCCGCTCTATACAGTAACATATACAATCAAACAAGAGCAGCCTAAGTTCGGTTAAATCAAATGCAGGTGAGCTCATTGTTTTGTGTTGTGGTTGCGGACGTGACCTGCCAACCTGGTCGAAATAGTCGGACATAAGAATTTCTCCTAACCATTCGTGTTTTTTCTTTTTTTTCATATTTTGTTTTGGGAAGGAGCTGACAAGACATTTCATATTTTGTTTTGGGAAGGAGCTGATAAGACATATTACTGAAGAGCCAAGTTATTAAATTTTGGTTTTAATATTTTGAGGCAATAATTGCATTGAGGATTTGCATTGTTTGGGCCTTTGTGGCATGTGATATGGTATTGATTGCAGGCGATTGGGATTTCAATAGTTTACTTTGAGTTAAGGACTTTATCAATGGAGTCAATCATGTCTTTCAATAAATGATGATTCATCATTATTATTTGGATCGTAACACAGTCTGGTACACCAAGTGTCAAAATACAAGCGGTTGAATTTTTTATTTATACATTCAACTACTTGTATCATGATAATTAGTGTATCAACCGTGTTTTCGGACGCTGAAATTTCTCAGATCATGAATGCCATAAATTTAATATATTACTTTTTCGCAAAGGGACTTATATATTTCTTAACATTTTAAATTTAGATATGATAAAAATAAAATAGAAAAATAAAAGAGTTTGCAGAGCTGGCAAATCTTCATAGGACCAACTACCCACTTTGGAATTTTGGGTTGGGCTCTATCTATTGAATGCTTACTTGGTTGGGCTCTAAACTAATTCGGCCCATATGTTGAACTTGGACGTAAACACATTTTTATGGACCAAGTTGGAAGTGATTTGAATCGATCAAATCTTTGACCTAAAATGGAATATCAATGCTTTCTCCATATGCCAATTTGAGAAGAAATTCTTAAAGTCCGGACCAGCGTAACACATAGCTAGTAAGTTTGCTTGACTGTGGTCACAGGTAAGGTGAAATTCTCCATATCTCCTCCGGTTCCGGAAAAGATGGATAATCGTGACTTGCCACCAATTGTCCATTTTTTAGAAAAAGTAAAAAAACACCTGACTTTTGTTTATTTAATGTGTCTTCGGCCAGACGATCACGAAAGCCAATTGTTGGACAGTAAGAATTTCTCCAATTTGAGGCAACAATCTGATGCAGCACCAAGTTTGCAGCCCATCCAAAACACAATAAATGGCATCCAAGTTTGTACAAGCAAAGCAAAGAGACGCAAAGCACGTTAGGTTGTCTGAATTTCTCGGTCGCCATTTGTTAATTGTCACTTCCTTAACATTGCAATCACTATTTAGGTTTGGACCACCACCCAACCTTTTTCAAAATATCTACCTAATTAGAACACATGTCTTTTTATTTTTATGTCGTATTTGAACCCCCAAACAAATAGTCATTGCTAGGGGCTTTATATGATCCATAGTTGGAACATGCTTTGCTTTTTGGACTTGTGTTGTGGTCCACGATTTTAGTGTTGGGCCTGTCTTCTGAGAGCAATATGACTTGTTCCAAAACAAAAGGACCACAAATTGGAAATTTGGAATTAGGGTGAAATTTACAATTTAAATGTGGTTTTGTGCTGTAAATGAAAATAACTTAAAAGGTCAGGAAAATGTAACAGCGATTGATATGTTGATTTATAAACAATGGGGATAGGACCAGGGATTTTGAGTTCACCATTATAAAGCCGTTTCCATGTTTATTAAGTTAAGCCGTATTTGCTAATAAAAAAGTTAAGTCGTATTCAACTACCAACCTATTTCAAGAGTTCGTTTTACATAAATATGATCAACCATATGATGTGTGGTTTTGATCAAATTATTCCAATTGGCAACCTAGTTAGGATGAAACTTTGGATCCAAATTAAGAGTCAATAGCATGCAAGAAAATTTCAAAGAACAAAAAAAAAAAAAAACACCGTAGGATGTTTGCATAGCATTCTTTTCATCGACACTAAAAATCCTAGCCATTTCATACACTTTCACCTTCACCGAAAGACTCACCCCAATGGTGAAGTTTAATATCATAATTGCTTTAAGGGTTTTCTCTCTTCAATTTATTTTCACTCATGTTGTGTATTCTCATTTTAATCTCTTTGAACATGATGTGTAACTGAATTCATATCCAAGGATTTCGATGTAGCCTTGCAAATTTGATCTATGTTTTTAAGTTAAAGTATTCGATTCATCAATCTGCTTCTTGTTTCATTCACTGATTGTATTGTTTTATTTGTTTATTTTCTTAATGTTTGATCACCATTAGGGTTGCCTACAAATTATTTGATCAAGGCTATACTTCACATCATGCCTATAGTCATGTGAATGAATGAGGCAAATGATGTCTCTATCATATTTTGTGTGAGAATAGCCTCCTAAAGCATCGTTTGATATAGAGGATTTGATTGAAATTGATAAATCACTATTTTCAAGATATGTTAAAATAAGAAATGAAATTTTTTTTTTTTTACAACTTGAAGTAGGAGAGAGAACTCAAGAATAAAATTTATCCACTACGATCCTCTCCAAAACTAAAAAAATAAAAGAAAGACGTTTCTTCATGTCTAATCTTCTTATCATTCCTTCGAATTGAATTCACTCTCCTCTATTCCAATTCAATCATATATACCGAACAAGGCCTATATCTGATACATATCCATATCAGACCCACTTAAGTCTAGATTACAAGACATTCCATATCTCAAATACCTACGTTAATTTCGAAGCGGCAAGCAGAGGATATCATATAAGTAGGGAAACAACGTGCTCAAACAACTCTTATCCGTTGCCCTACAAAGAGAGACACTCTCTTCGCAATCCAAAAGCCTCCAAATGATTTTCCATCTTTTCTTAGCCACGTATCATCAAGTGAGGAAAAAATAATACAAAATGATTGAAACAATCTCCCACTGTGTCTGCATCAGCGGAAGCCACGTGTCAATAAATTAGGGTTTGATTTAACTACTAGCTAGCTCGCTGTAGCCTGTAGCTTTCCAAGCATTTGCATATATACGTTCATCTGCTTTTGCGATGTTTAGGTTAAATTAGGGTTTTGGGATTAGATAAAGACATTATCTTTACCAAACAAGAAACCTTGTTTGTGATCTTGTACTTCGAACAAATAGTTGTAATGAGATTGCAAATTTTGTTTAAAGTGGTGGACACGTAGTAAGTGTAAGGGCTGGTTTGGTATTGCTGTGCTTTGAAAAAAAACTGCTGTGAGAATAAGCGGCTGTGCTGTGAGAATAAGCGGCTGTGAAATAAATCAGCAGAGTGTTTGGTAAACTTTTTTGTAAAAGTGCTTTTGGAAAAAAAGCAGTCTAATAGTGGATCTTTTCATTAAAGAAGCACTGTAGCTCCGTGTGCTTTGAAAAAAAGCCAGTTTTCCAAAGCTACAAATAGCAACTTCAGCTTTTTCCTTTGATTTCAGCTTATTCTCACAGCAGCTTCCAAAATAAGCCATTTTTTTTTTCAGTTTACCAAACACCTAAAACCCTCACAGCTTTTTTTCATGGGTGCTTTTTTTTTAAGCACCTCACTCCCAAACTAGGTCTAAGTACTAAGAAAAACCATTGACAGAATTTTCTTGTTTGGAATAGATAGAAACAGTAGCTGCTATGGGAAAATAATCAACCATATGTTATCCAAAATAAACAATGAACAATGTGGAGGCAAAAGGTTTGAGCATTAGATTTCACTCGTGGTACAATCTGAGTAAGGTTTGAACATAACACTTTAATTTGTCTATGATAATTATAGAGTTAAAGTACGAATAATTACTCAGTCTTTTATGATGATTTTAAATTAGTTTCAATCTTTTAAAACATTTTATATAAGTATCTAACGTTTTGAAAATTAAACATTTGTTAGGTCACTGACATTAAATAAGGACTTTACCAACATCAAGTGATGACGTTACTAGTATTAAATGATAAGATAGACAAATAATAAAGTTGGTTTTCACTAATTGTCATCTTTGGAGCTCTATCACCCAAATTGACCCCTTTTAGCCAAATTAAACAGTAAATTTGATTAGCTAAAATGCGTTAATTTGGAGATACAAAGCTTCATAGATAACTTAAGAATTAAAACACTTTTTAAATTTTGTCTATGTCATTATTTAAAGCTAGTGAACCTAACCGACATCCACTTTTATTTAAAAAAAAAAATTAGATAGTTATTTGGAATGTTTTAATAGGTTATGACAAATTTGTAAATTAACCCTTAAAAGTTGGGTAGTTATTGGAACTTAACCCATAATTATAAGATAAAATGCTAGGATCAACTCAAATAGGTAGTGATTTCATATATATGGATATGAGTAAGGAGAAACTCTAGTGATATAGTTGGACCATCACCGCTGCATGATTTTATCAAATCAAGCATGTTTTAATTAGTAAGTATATACATTTATTAACATTATTTGAGACGTCCATAAAATATCAATTATGACATGTTACTCAAAGCAATGTGACCGCTACATACTCGATCAAAAGTATTCCGACGAAACATTGTGACACAGTAGATGGTTGTACAAAACCTTACTGGGAAGAAAAAGATCATGGAGGATATGGAACGTGCTTTCTAGACATTCTACAGTACCAAATCCCAACTTATTTTGAGCACAGTTTATATGCACATATATGATCAGTACTGCTACTACAGCTAGAAATCGTGATCAGAATCGACATTCTACCTTCCATGGTCTGATTTTTCACCCGTTTATCTCTACCTACAATATGTTTAAAGAGTAGCATTACCCTACGAGTCTCTGGTCTCTCCCCATTACATATGCATGGAGAGACAAAGAACAGGCGGTGAGGTACTCTTTTATCGCAATGCTACCACACAAGGGTCCCATTATTTCTCTTACATTTTACAACTTTTGAAGGAGATGAGGGAGTTAAAAATTTTAAAATCCAGGGAAAAAGGAACAGGAAAGACCCCCACATTTTCAAGAA